GAACATTGACCAACAAGCATGATTTCAAATCATCATTCTAAGTTATTTAATTGAAAACGGATTAACAAGCGGAGATTCTACATCTTAGCAATACATCTCACGAATTTGATAGGTCTTTACTTAGTTTTTTTTTTTATTTAGTTTCTAAATTAGCTATCAATTAGTTAAAATTAAATCTTGCTATTCAATTAAGGGTATTAATAGCTTTAACTTGATCAATACATAGTTCTCGTGGATTCGACACTCTACACATTATTATATTACTTGTTCACGATCACGTTCGCTTGCGGGAAATCAAACGACCAATTGAAAATTTAAACACATGTGGTCTATCAAAAAGTTCCTCAATAAGGTAGAAATCCTATGAAAATGATGGATTTGACCTCTTATAGTAGACGTCATGTTAAGTCTTATTACCTTAAATCATAGACACTCAAGCCTAAACCATAGAGCGACTACTTTTTTGATAACATTAAATACTGCAAAGCCTAGAACATTTATTGTGATAACTTGTGATGGTGCGTTTTGACCATGAGGATGAAGGTACATACTTCTTCATCCAACGACTACTACTCAAGCAATGCTACTATAAAAACTCACAACTCATGCCAATTCCAGGGTAATGCAATTCTAATACTAAAACAATGTAAGATTGCTATCGCCTCAATATTTATACATATTCCTGATGTTCGAACACTTTTGTGACTTGCACCTTAAAGTTCATCCTACACATTATATTTTTTTCCGTCGATTGACTTGATCTTCAGAGTACTCGCGGCCACCCCTATTACCGAAAAAGGCCACAGGTGACTAACGATTTGTTCAAGTATGTAAGAAATGAGCTTACATGACCGAAAGTAGGCTCGGGATCTGTTGGCCACATTGGAGGTACAAAAATCAAGATCAATGTGACTTTCCAAATGTAGAGAGCCAAATTCACTCTATAATTAAATGTACTCAAAAAATATATACAAAGAAAATTGAGAAAAATAATATAATAATTTGAAGGAAATCGGTGAAAACGAAAAATGAGAAAAAAATAATAAATATACATTAGGAGTAATAAAATTAAGTGCTAAAGATAAATAGGATGTTGGAATATTCAAAAATGTTAATTCTCTAATTTATAGATACATTCTAAATTGTAAAATATCTTCTATATATTAAAAGTGGCTATGTAACGGAATTTCTTGTTTTTAATGGAAAAACTAACGGAATTTGTTGTTTTAACAGACTATATAACGGAATTTCTTGTTTTAAACAGACAGCTGCA